GGGTGCCGGGCTCACAGGAGGTGGGAGGAAGCCTGCTCTGTCAGTCCGCCACTGCCCGGAGCGGCCGCAAGTTTATATCCGCCGGCCCTTCTCCAGACACCCGCGTCAGATCCACTCCTGGAACCCCGCTCCCCTGCGTCCGTGACGAGTGCGAGATGCCCGAGCCGGAGCGGACCTGGAGCCGGCGCGGTTCGGGCTCCTGGGGGTCCCGGGTTGCTGGCCCGTGCGAGCCGTCGGCTCTGCTCCCCGAACTCCGCTCGCGACTAGCTCAGCCCTACTCAACTTGTGTCCGCGAGCGCGCCAGAGCAGAGGGAGACGGCGGTGCGCCGGTTTAATTGTTTTCCGTGCTCGGTGTGAGCGGCTGCGACTCCTCCGGCACAGCCAGCCAATTAGAGCCGTGCAGCTGCACTCGCGTCCAGCCTACAGAGCGCTCTCCCCGTTTCCCCGAGGACCAATTAAATAAGAAAGAGGCCGGGATAGAAAGAAAAATCACAATCGCGCTCTCTCTCTCTCTCACACACACATATACACAGTCACACAGAGACACACATCACAGACACTCTCACATCCTCTACCCGCGCAGCTCCTGCCTCCAGGTCCGTTTCCTGCCTCGCCGACTCCCGAGTCCCGCCGCCAGGCGGCGCGCTTGAGCCACTTTTCATCTCTGTGGCCTGCTATCTCAGTGACTATCGCTGCCTCTCTGTACACATACATCCGTGTCGACAGGTCTCAAAAGAAACTCTATTATTCAATTACTTTGATCAGTTATATAAATCATCACATTTCATGATCCACATTTACAGCAGTGGTACAGAGATGAAAAACAGCAGCTAGCGGTGCTCAATAAATACTCCAGACAGCCGATCAGAGAGCCGACAGGGCCCATCAGTCTCAATGAGGTGGCTCCACAGATAATCCTGTAGGTGTCTGTGAAGATAAACACCCGCGCGGGCGGCTCTGAAGGGCACTGCAGGATTCACTTTCAGATCTGTGACCCCTGGCCTGTCTGACCCACAAGTGCCCACCAGTGACCCCTGGCCTGTCTGACCCACCAGTGACCCCTGACCTGTCTGATTCACCAGTGCCCACCAGTGACCCCTGGCCTGTCTGATCCACCAGTGACCCCTGGCCTGTCTGATCCACCAGTGCCCACCAGTGACCCCTGGCCTGTCTGAT